GTTTGGTAAATATTATAAAAATACTCATTGTCTGTGAAATTTAGTGGCTGCTTTATGGTGCCAGTTAACCCTTTCAGAACGCAAAAGTTAATAACCCTCGGTCCTCAAATGGTCTCTGCGAAGGCCCTCGCTTGAGCCACTTTACTTTGGCTGCGTTCGGGGGTCCTTTGTTTTGGGCACAGACCCAGGCCAATTATTCCCTCTTCTGCTGGGTTAATTATTAACACCGCCGGTCTCATTCGGCATGCAAGTCGAGACTCGCGCGGGGATAATTTAATTGCGCCTTGGATAAAATGCACTCACCTGGCGACGCACGCTAATGGGAAGCTTTTCTTAGTCGTTATGCAGCGTGCAATCCTTGCCAAAGTGGCTCCATTAGCGCGATTGCCTTTCGTTTCGCCTGATTTCCTGCGAAGAAAAGACGTGCCGCCGCAGCATCTAACTTTGGAGAGCAAAGTTTCGAGACTTCCGAGTTTGCGGGTCAAGTGAAAAAATTTCTTTAATAAACCCATTAACAATAATGTTGTTTTTTTAAAGCAGTTTCTCCACAAACAAGAATTGTACTGCAGTACATAACTACATAATAATTATAAACAAATCTGTGTTCAATACTTACAATAATTAAAATTTTTCTAGAAAGTTTAAAATTTCTAAAATTTTTATTTAGTTTTTATTTTCATCGTCTTTAGCAGTACGCGAATATTATTTTTTTTTTTTTCTGGATTTTATGGGCTCCTGATTTGTTTTCTCAAATTTGGTATTCAAAATTCAGTAAAATTTTCCTCCAGACTACATTAGACTTAACTATTATCTAAAACATAATAATTATAATTGATCGTAAAATAATTATTATCAATAAAAAGTAATAAATTTAAATCATTTTATAGCATCTCTAATCTCAAACATTTTCAATGAAATTAAAAAAATAATAATAATAAAGAAAGAGTGGTAAATTTTCATTCACTAATGCTGGAAAATACGCAAAGAAATTAATTGACTTCAGCAAACACTCATATTCGAATTTTTAAAAAACTAGAAATTGGCGGTAAAACTGCTACATATGGGTTTTAGAATTGACATAATTATCAGTTTTTTAATTATATAAGTTACACCTGGCAATTGAATGAAATACGATATAAAAACAATTTAGCATGTGGATGGATGAAGCAAAAATTCAAAACAAGCTTGCGTGTCATTTTCCACTTTGTGAAGCTAAAAACGAGAAAAAAGCGGCTGCATTTATACTTCTAAAGGGTCGAAACGAGCGTGCTCTCGACCGAGATCATTCCTGCGAGGCCACTAGAGATGTGCTGGCTGTTGCACGTAGCTTTAATTATGGATGGAAATTAGCTCTAGGACGGTCATTGCTTTTTTTGCCGCGAGTGCGAGAGTGGAATTTATTTTCTGCACCGCTGCTCACCCAGTTATTCATATGGCTCCGGGGTGCAGATTCATAATCTGCAATCGCGTTCCGCACGCTGACCTTTTGACCTCGCTGAAATTAGAGAAAGAATCGATTAACGGCACGTAAAAATTTGCAATCTGGATCAAATTTTTCATAACAAAAACCAGTTTTTCTAGTTTAATGTTAACTTACATTTAATAATCAATTTAAATATATTATATTTTATTTTTGAAATGAAGAAAAAAATATTTTGTAAATTTGCATAAAAATTTTAACGTCTATAGATAATTTGAATCACATTAATAATTATTAATTTTTTAAATGAAAAAAAGTTGTTATATCCTACCATTTTAATATATTACACTGAAAATTCTCGCTAAGAAATAAAAATTCTTTACTTCTTTTTTGTATTAATTAAAATTTTACAGGAGCTTTACAATTGATCATTTCCATGCGTCACAACTGTATTGCATCACAACGAACCTATAGTCTGTGGTTATTTGCTCGGACGAATTGCAATTTCGGCATCAAAAGGCCCAAGCACAATAGAAACCTTTTCAGCGGTTTAATTAGCCAACCGCCGTTTTGCTATCGCGGCCGAGCGCAAAAACGCAAACTCGTTTACCTCTCAGAAGGCAAACAAAAGCCACCACTGCGTTTATAAATATGTGTACCTGCGTGAACAGCGCGTCATGCCAAACGAGGGTTTGTTGATGGAATTTCAAATCAATTGATGTGTTGAAATCCTAGCTGATATTGGAAAATAAAATTTTCTACACAGAATTGATTAAATTTTAAGAACGGAAACTTTTAAATTATTATATTTTTAGTTAAATATAAGAAAATTTATGTAACTTGAAATTAAATTATTGTTTAAAAGATTCTCTAAAGAAAAAAAATTAAGAGCATCTTTAATTTTTGAAACTGATTCTGGATATTAAATTAAATAAAACAGGTGAATATAGTAAGCAGCTTTTTTAAACTTATCAATGAAAAATCAACTTAATAATGAATCTATGGACCTCTTATTGGTGCAAAAAACGTTCCACTAACTAACTACACTAACAAGACGCCAATTCACTGCCAAATCACTGCTCTCATTCTTCATTCTTGGGAATAATTAGAGCTGACGAGGGAATTCAAGTGCGAGAATCGAATTAGACTTCTTCTCTCTCCGTAATTCAATTTCTCGAACAGTGTAAAAAACGACGTATCTTAAGGAAGAGTTGCAGACGATCCTCTCTCCAGCTTTTTCGTTTGGGCGAAAATGAAATATTGTGTAGGGTGCGAAAGCAGCAACGCACGAGGTCTTGTGCCGATCGTTGACAGCTGCTCGAGGGTACACACGCAAGAAAAGTTCTTTCCTTGGAGCGGAACGCCGATATCCATTTTCAATTGAAAAGAACGCGCGTTCTCGTCACTTCTTCTCTTATCCCCAACCGGCACCCTTAAACTTCCGTCGCATACATAATATGTAGTTGCGTCTTATTTTTCTTTTTAGAAAGCTCTGGACCATCTGGTATGGATATGTATTTTGACAATTCCGTCGCGGGTTTTATCCATTCTGTCACATTATATATTCTGACAAAATGAAGATAAAGAATAATTCAAAAGAGTTGTAATTTTTTGAACATGTTGTAGTAAATATATAGTCCGTTCAGAGATAAGATAAGAATGATTCATACAAAAAATGAATGCACAAGATGTAAATTTCCAAATATTTCAAATGACTAAAATGATTGTTTAGAAATTTAATTTTCAGCAAATTGAAATTGTTGATTTACTTCTCATAAAGATTTTGGTGCTTAATAAAATTTTATTGCTTATATTAAAAATTGTATCGTTTGAACTGCTTTAAATTTTAAAAAGGTTATTCCTATATTCATTAAAAAAAATCAAAATTTCCAAGTTTTGAGAGCATTCAAGGGCATACAACATATTTTTATTTATTATTAAACACCTTTCGCAAGAATCGGAATAATGATTTAGATATCTAATTCCAACACAAAAAGTTAATAGTGATTCATAAAAAAAAGTGTAAACAAGCAACCATTCAAAAGTTGAAGCAGTTCAAACAGACCCAATTTAACATATTTTAAATGTAGTGAGAAAATCTAGCGCAAATCCTCAGTTGAACATTTCTGCTTGCAATTACTGAACATTGAAGTATTGCAACAGTTGTGACCCCTATGCTCTCACAAAGCACTGGTTTTACTTTAAAGCACCTATGCACAGTAGAAGCGCTCGTCTTAAAATAATGACTCTAACTCTCTCCTTTACAAATGTGTTTCAAAGAATATATTTCTTTCTATTTTGCAATCCGTCTCTCTTTCTGCTCGCGACCTGCATTATAAATAGATCGAAAGCTGCAAAGGTCGCTGCAGCAAAGAGAGCATCAGCTTTTTGCGATTCGGTGGTGAACAGTCGACCGGCATAAAACTGTACGCGACTCCCGAGAGTGCAGAGCTCTCGAAACGACACACAGACCGGATTTTGTACATGTGCTCCACTGGCACACTTGACGCCGACAATAATTCCCTCTGGTAATGATGATGAGCAAAAATAAAAATGTGTATAAAAGGCCATAACTCTCTGTGACCTGCAGGCGCTGGATCATTATTGCGGCTTTTTAATACCTCTCTAGATGTAATTTGTGGCCCGAGGATGAAAAATGTGGCCTGGAATCTTTTCATTAGGAATTTAAAGAGATCACTGACATGAGCAATATGCGTTTTCCATCTTTCATTTATTTTTACTCTGGGCCTCTTAAAAAAATATTATGTATATTGCTGCTCGAAATTACAACAGATCAATAATGGCAGGCATTTCTAAACAAACTGATTAGCCAAACCCGAATTAAACAACCAGCAAGTGACAGCAGCAAACAAAATGCTTAAATTTTGCCTCATGTCGCTCCTGTCAAATTTATAAGGAGGTTTATTTTTTTTTTATACATAGACGTAATAATTATATATTATATGATATTTTAAAACACAAGAAAGGAGGAGGAGAAAGGTTTTAAGTTTGAAAGAATATCTAGTACAGCTAAGAGCATTTTTTTTTTACCATTTTTGTTAGTACCTCTTTTATTGCACTAATGCAGGAGAAGGCTGCGCCTGCACACATACACCTTTACATTTTCAAAAGATTCTCTTCTGCGAATTCAAATCCTCACGATGTCAGACTTATTCCACAGCAAACTGCTGGAATAATGATCTCTGCCTGCTATGAAGGAAAAAGTCCCCGGAATTTCTTTTTCTCAATATTAATATGCGTGGTCGCTATGAGCTGAGATGTAATCTGAAACTTTTTTTATTATAAGCTTATAAATGAATTTATTTCTTGCTTGTTATAAAATTCCCAACTTCTGAGGCGTTGGTTTCCAAAATTTGAACTGACTGAAAGAGCTATACATATAATTTGCGAATTTTGTTGAAAAAAAAAGGAAAAATGTTAAGAATATTCACCTCATCATAGTAAAATGATTTTTGGCTTTTAAATAAATAAAGTTTCAGAATAATTTTAAAACTTTTATCTAAAGTAAGAACATATTGACAATAAATTAAAAATCAAATTTTTGGTCAACTTTTTTCAGGGTTCATCGTAGTGGCCGCCTGTGTGATGACGTTTGAGGCGCGAGACAGCGCCGCCAAAGTGGTGCCCGCAAAGTTCAAACCGAAAGCTAGCCCTGCGCACAGGTATCGCTCGGACGACGGCAGTGGCCGTCGCAGCACCAGTTGTCAGACGCGTTGGGACAATCTGGGAGTTTTCAGGGCCGCAGCTCAGGGTGCGACCGCCCTGGGACTGGCGACGCCTCTAGCCTCGGCCGTCACTTCACCAGCCCAAAGCATGCACCGAAGGGAACTCAAGCAGTCATTTCTGAATTTTTCCAAGACATTCCAGTCGTCTATCGACTCTGCAGGTAAGTGACTTATTATTATTCAAATTCAATTATTACATTATTACATTTCAATTAATTAAAAAAAACTTTTTTATTTGTTGCTTTGAGTCGGTCGCGGCGGTCGCGGCGGTCGCGGCGGTCGCGGCGGTCGCGGCGGTCGCGGCGGTCGCGGCGGTCGCGGCGGTCGCGGCGGTCGCGGCGGTCGCGGCGGTCGCGGCGGTCGCGGCGGTCGCGGCGGTCGCGGCGGTCGCGGCGGTCGCGGCGGTCGCGGCGGTCGCGGCGGTCGCGGCGGTCGCGGCGGTCGAGGCGGTCGAGTGAAACGAGCCGCACGAGTTAAACGTCTCAGAACAGTGGGTTAATTTTTTTATGATCTGAGCAATCACAGACAGAAGCAACATATAAAAATTTTGTTTTAAATCATTGAAATGTTATCATTTTTAAGTCAATATATATGTGCACGAATTTTTTTCCATGGCGAAGAAGTGTTACCTTCATCAGATTTGACAGCACCACCTGCTTTCCAGTTCGGACTCTACTTGAAGCCACTAGGAAGTTACCCCTCAGGAATTTCCACCCAATGAAATTTTAAATAGCTCAAAAATTATTAATCATATATCTCCAAGAGTGGAAGCTCTCAAAATTGGAAATTGAGTAGCTTTTTCGGGAGTTTCTACTTTAGGGAGTTTCTCACTTACACGCTCAATGTAGATGCGATTTTTAATTTTAATACTAAAGCTCGTAATTTCCACCTGCAATTCACTCATTGGCTTCAGGGACTGTCAAATCATGTGTCGATGCTGCCCATTTCCTCCACATATAACCCTGTCCCCCCCTTTTGCCTCCATGTTATTTGCCAACCTCCTTTTTTGCCAATTTCCACTAAGGGAACTTCGTGGCACTCACATTCATTTGTAATTTAATAATTTAAAATAAATTTAATTAATTATTAATTTCTATTTAAACTTTCAACACTTATAAAATGCTGTATGCAAATGTATGTATTAACCAATAAATTTGAGTATTTTAAACCATTAAAGGCATTCAAAATTTTTAATTTTATTAAATATTTTAAAATTTATATTTTGTTTTTATTTATTAAAAAAACAATTTTTATAATTATGTATTAAATTCGCTTGAAATTCAGGTTACCAGACTGAGGATGCTAAAGTAAAATCTCCAACCACAACGATCAACGCAGCGCGCCGCAACTCTTTGGCCAAGTGCCCTTCGGCGCCCAACATCGCAGCCCTGTCGGACAGCGGGAGTCCCCTGATGCAGCAGCTGAACATGTTGGCCAAACCCGTGCCCCCGGCCTTGCTAGGCGCCGGCAACGCCAGTTCGGCGCGGGCCTCGAACGTCGCCGCTCGGCGCCAGAGCTCGTCGATCAAACGGGGCTGCCCTTTGCTTTCTCCACACCCTTTGCAGCGGCAAGCGTTGTCGGTCGACTACACCAACATCAACTACTCGCCGCTCATTTTCCAACAGCAAAGGCGTCCGCCTCCTTTGCTGGCCGACTCGCCAAAGAGCAGCGTCGAAAGAGCCGTCTCGGAGGTGAGAATTTTCTTTTGTCCACGGCAGAACCACTTAAAATAGAATCCATGTCCGATTTTTCTCGTTTCCTTTACGATTGGCCAGTTTTCTCTCTGAAAATATTGAGAAATACGTTTATTTGTCTGAAAATGATATTTGTTAAAAATTAAAAAAAGTTGAAAGACTTTTAAAACTTACGAATATATTGAATTCATTGTTTCAAAGATTTAACAAGATTTTAACTAAATTTCTTGTCAATATGAATATAATATAACACTATGAGGGATGGCCTAACTTTTAAAGTTATTCATTTTTTTTTTAAATTTTCATTTCAATAATAAATTAGGTTTTTTAAGGTAAAAAAGTGTCACAGAATTTTATAATTTTTTTACAGATGTATACGAATTTCCTTGATTTAGAACGGGTATTATGGGCAGACTTTTTAAACACTTCCTTTGAAAGAGCCTCGCGGGCCTTCTCTCTCAGCAGCAGTTTCATTTAGGTCTGAATAAAATATGACCGGGCTTCTTCCGCGCGTGTAACAGGTTGGAGAGAAAATCCACCCTCTTTTCGTACGGTCGCGTGCTCAACGGACGCTTATTTCAACTCTGCTGGTCGTTATTTATCTTTCCTTTTTTTATTTAATATTAATTTTGTGCACGCGAACCTGCTCTTTGGCAAAAGTTGCCCAGGCAGATGAATTTTTAGCACAGCTTCGCGCTGCTTTTCATCACCAGGATTTTTTCTCATCCCGGCTGCGGCACGTACGTTCCGCTTTTTATCAGCTCTCGACGCAAATACGCCAGACTTTTCCACTCTTTTGTTTACTTTGGCGCAACTTTTGCGAGCGAAATGAAAACTCTGTATAGCAGTATTGAATGCGCCTCCACATTTGGAAAAATATTTTTTTTTATTTCAATTGTCAGCTTCTCTCATTTATATTCCTTTATTGTTTCAAACCTCTTGGTGGGTTGAAAAAAACTAAATTCCGAACAAAAAGTAGCTAATTTTTATTTTTTACGGTTTCATTTGTTTACACTTGCAATAAAAACTTGGTATTTTCTCGCGTCAGGCTTCTATGGCGATGGACCTTCATCTGCCAGATGACTGTCAAGTGACTCTGAAGGTGCGAGACCAATCTAGGGTGATGCCTCCCCGCCTGCATCAAAGGTCAGAGACTGCTCGGAGGCACCAGCTCACCAGACAAAAGCAAGTGGTGGAGCTTGAAACGTCTGTCAATGACATACAAATTCAAGGTAAACACATTAATGTTTTAAATCCATCAGCTAAATTTTCTTTAATAAAAAAAAAAATAAAAAAAAAAATAATATATAATTTAAAAAAAATGGAATTTTTCATTTCTTTAATTTAATTATTATTTTACTTAAATTTTCTCAAATTATTGTTAAATTTCTTCACAGCAGCAAATTACTGAAATCGGCTTTAGAAGTAATATTTGAGTTCCAAGATCTGTATTGTCTTTTTTCAGTGCCTGATGTCAAGGTTCGTCGACACCACTCGTCAAAACGCGACGGCACCAAAAGACACCACAGGCATCGCGTCAAGAGGTCCAACACTTGTGCCACCCCACAGGATGCATCCACAAGACATCCGCACGGTGATGCCACTCCAACAGTCTGCATCAGTCTCACCCCCAGCCCTGAAAGGTCACACGCTTCATGTAACCTGCAGGTAAGAACAAGTAGAACATTTTTTTATTGCTAAAACAAGTAACAATTAGTGACAAAAACTATAGATTATTATTTTCATTTTAATACTTTTAAAATAATTGAATCGAAAAACATCACTTTCCTAAAAAGCAAAATATTTTATGGTTTGATTTATACTCTGAAAGTAATTAATTTTGGCCCGGAAAAGCTAAAATACTAATCAATCATTATTTTTATTATTAGAACTTTTTTTTAAACTTTTAAATTTCAAAATTTAGAGTTATTTCTGTTTCTTTTTCAATATTAATCAAAAATATTATTCAGGTGCATATCAACATTAAAATCGTCGTAAAAAATTATAGTCAACCAAAGTTTCATCATTTTTAATTCTATCCAAGCCTTGCATATTTTTTTATTTTTGCAAATCTCGGCCAACTTTGTGCTTTCCTGCCACAGGTGCAAATCGATAACTCGAGCAACCCGCCAAGCTCAAATCAGAGCTTTGAAATGAGCACCGTGGGTTCCGACGTGGAGGCAGGACCGTCCTGTTCGTACTCGGCACCTTTGCTCGAGGAGAAGTTGACGCCAAACACCGAGACCAAGATCCACATCGAGGAGGCCCAGTAGTCGCTCCAGTGGCGACGGAAGATGATGGACGAGACTGAGTTAACTAAGTGAGTACGGGTGCTGGAGAGAGCGAGATAAGCGGCGCAATAAATGATCCGAGAGCGAAAGATGTGGCAGTTTGCGCCGCTCTTTGTTTTTGGCCTGGAGAGAGAGAGAATGACACAGAACGCGCGGTGCGGGGGCAATCAATAATCGCGCTGCCCTGCTCGCACGGAACGCGGAGAGACCCTGTTGCGCGCCACATTATTCACACCCGTGTCATTTTGGAATATTCATAATTTACGGGAGAAAAGGATGATCTATAAAGTGATCAGCACAAGCGCATTATATTCCAGGCAAAATAGAGCGTCTTTCAAAAGAGACGTCTGTCCGTTTCTCACACCGAGAGTGACACAGACGCACAGTTTGAAGATGTTTTTTCTGACCTTCTCTCATTGCCTATTCATCTGACCCGTGTCAGTGGCTAGTTGGGGGTATTTGCTTTCAAAAGCGTTTTATTACATACAATTTCTGGAAGCAGTATTTTACCAATTTTTTATTCTATTATTTTTCTTTTTAAATTAAAAACAAGAAAGCTATATTAGAATGGATATTTGATTTATAAACTATAAATATTTATTATATTAAATCACACTGACTGTTGTAGAATTGAGAAATTTGTAATCCTATTAATTCCGAACTAATAATTAACGATTCAAGTAGTTTTATTGTTTTTAAAACACGCATAAAGTAATAACAACGCGGAAACTGTATTTTTTAAGTAAAAGAACTGTGATAAGTGTTGATTTTTGTGTATAGTTAATTGAAAATAAGGCAGGAAAATATTTTTGTAAAATATTGCCACAAAAAGGAGATTTCGCTCTGCGTGTTTCATACATAAATAAAGCCCTGATGTGTTTAGCGTTGAGTGTCATTGCACCGTTTTTGTCAACATAATAATTTGCTGTCGTTTTTTAACCGTTCCACTGTTTACCAGAAAAAAGACGAAAAATAATTCACTCACGCACATAAAAATATGTGAAAATCGATGTAGCCGAGCTATTTTGATCACGGCTTGAGCTTTCGTTGACACCCGACCTGTTCAAAAACAGTAATAAATAAAAGTAACTGCCAACGCATATTTTACGCATTATCAAAAAGGTTTTCATAAACGGAATTCAACGCGCTTTCAGCAGCAGACTGGGCGAGTCTCGGAAGCTCAGAAGTTTGCGCTCTATGTGTGTACAATGGTGTATAGTTTTACATGAATGTGTGAAAAATTTTGTGCTACGGGTTTTGTCGCGGTTGCACAAGATTAGATGAATTATTAAAACACACTCACCACCTGTGGGTTGTTCGTGGGTTATACATGAAAAGTGTTCGTTTTAACATGGCATTAGATGAAAATAATAATCAAATTTTAATTATTTTTCTTAATTTCTTTTCGGAAGAGGAAAAATTCTTGTACTAACAAAATTATTTGCATTTAATTCACAATTAAATTCTTCTCTAGCGACTCTAGCTATAAATCAGTCACAGTTTCAAAAAGACTAGTTTGTAAGGGTTTTACCAAAATTTAATCCTCCGATTCCTCATTCAATATAATTATAAAATGAAATTTAAAAAAAAATCACGTGAGATTTTTATTATATTCAACAAGACTGTGGCACAAACAAGTATGTTAACCGAAAGTAAATAATTTATGAATGTCTCGTTTACTGTTGATGTTATTGCTGTTGTTGTTAGCTTGTCCAAAATGCAGGGTCCCCGTTCAAATAGCAGCTCAATGTGTCGTTTTTTCCAAATAAAAATTAGTGTTGCTGAACAATTATTTCCGTTGTATAATTTTGGTTGACAATTTCATCCTCGTCGTCTAGCGAATCAACTCGCACATTAACAACAGGTGGACAAGAAATTTTCTTCTCAACGGGCGCCAAAATTGATATAATTACCTGAAATTTTTTTTATTAAAAACTCTTTGTACCTAACATAATACTTTTCAACCTCTGATGCCAATTCCAAAGCAGAATTATTCCAGCAATCGGCCGGCCCATGCACGTCTGCACCTCCCTCGCAAAGCAATTTCAAAATTTGGTGGTTTTCACCAAACACAGCCGCTGCCAAGCAACTTAATCCATTAGTGTCGCGATGATTGACGTTGGCGCCGTGATTAATTAGGAGGCTCACCACTTGTGGATCGCATTCAAGCAGCACTAAAAATGTGATTAATGAAATTTCTCAAAGGATTATAAATGCATCAGCTTTAATTGCACCTATAAAGATCTAAATTGAGCACTTAAACTACTGAAAGTTTCCAAAGCTGGTTCCTTATTAATTGAGACGAGTGCTGATATTTTATAGGAAGTGAGCGGGGCTGGTCTAATCTACATCAAGTGCTGAGTGCTTCATTATAAAAAAAAGTTTGGTGCTCAAAATTTGATCTGGCGTCAAGTGTAGCGGCGCATTGTTTGGAGGCTGCAAACTTCCGTTCAAGTATAAAGTTGCAACGAGCTGTTTTTCATCAATCTTACACAATCTTCAAAAAAAAAAAATATATTAATTTCCCTTAATTTTAAAACAATTCAATTGTTAAAATTTATAAGATAGGATATTAACGAAAAGAAGAATTTTCGTTTGTTTGCTAATTATTAGAGTAAAAATAAATATATATAATTTTCCTTGTCACTTCAATATTCATTTTTAAGTGACGTAAAAAGATCTTTATTTTTAAGTATTGCAATTATTTATTCAATAAAAATTATTTAAATACTTCTGGGTCATGGTATATTTGAAAACTGAGAAAAATCCAGATATTGAAGCCTGTTCAGTAAAAAAAGTAAAAATAAATCTCCTTGTTGAAAAATAAAACCAAAATCGTAAAAACTTCTAAAGAAATTTTAATTCTGTATAATTAAAATTACTTTTAATCTTTTAACTGAAGGTCCTCCAATGCTTCATATTTATTCTAGCCATGTCATTTCATTTACATAACTATTGCATGAATCTGAACTCGGCGCATCTCGTCACAGCCCGGTCTACACCAAGTGCTTCTCGTCGTCACTGAATGAATAATTAATCAATTTGCGAGCGAGAGCAAGATTGCAATGCAAACACACTTCCCTCTGCGTGCTCTCTGTGTTTCTCTGACTGGCTGCGAATATTCACTCACGGTTGTGCAAATATGTATATACGGACGGCGAAATTGAATTACCAGCTCTCATCAACGGCGTCCAACCACACGAGTCGGCGGCATCCACCGCGGCGCCCGCATCCAAAATCAATTTGGCGATCTCGATGTGGAACAGCGAGTGGTGAAGCGCGGTCAGACCAATTCTGTATGAATGGCAGCCGTCGGTGAGGCACAGAATAAAAAATTGGATGGCAAATAATTGATTTTGATGGATGGAAAATTGCACCAGGGGGAGAGTAACAATTGCTGTTTTGTGGTGTAATTTACTTGCTCTTTCTCGTCGTTTAAAAAAATAAAAATATTGAAAAAATAATATTCGTTCTGTTCAAAAATGTAGTTTTAGAAACAAATGATTATAAATATATAGAAATAGGCATTTTTACCTGTCACGTATTTCCAAACTAGCACCATTTTGAAGCAAAAACTCGACAATATCCTGTTTGCCAGCGGCGCACGCCAGCATCAAGGCCGTTCCATTATCTTCAAAACTTTGCTCATTAACATCTCCATGTGGCATGAGCAACTTGACCATCTTCAAGTCGGAGTTCGCCACTGCCACTTGCAGACTCGTGTATCCCCATTCCGAAAAACAGCTGCACGCAGCAATTGGTCTGGAAATTTTTGGAAAGGAAAAATATTTTTATATAAAAGACCAGGTGTTTTTCTTACATTAACTGCAAGATCCTGCTCACTTCTTGATGGTTACCGAACTCGATTTCCTTGTGCAAACTTTTCACTGACGGCTGCTCGTCTGCAAAAAGAAAAAAATATATAACATTTCATGGATGAAAATAGCAGAAACTCGCCTCTCGTTTGGCCCGAGACGCTCTCGCTCCATTTGCTCGACTCTTCATGCTCGTTCTTTTCAAAAACTTTCAGTCGAAACAGGTACAGGGTGGAAGGTGCGAGATCATCGGCTGTGCATTTACATTCAAAGCCTCTGCAAAAACGTTAAAAAACTTAAATTTGAAGCAAAATCCTTTTTATTTTAGATAGAACTATAGTAGGGCAAATGATTTTTCATTAAAAATAGCTCAAAAATAAAGTTATATAAGATGAATTATTTTAATTTATTAACTTAAATGCATTTTAATAAGATTTTTTTGATAATAATTATAACATTTAATTAATTAATTTGATTCAGAGATATAAATAATATTTTTGTGCGTTTGATTTTTGAAATAATTTTTCTCGCCTGTAAACCAATTCCCATTCCAGAGTTTCCGGATCGCAAATTTGCAGGACACACGTGAATTTGATGCCTTTGGTGTCAACCATTTTTTTCTGAGACTCGGTCAGTTGCCAGGCGACTTCGAGTGTGTTCGTGGTAGCCGCGTTCGCCACCACGTACGGCATCAACGGCTTCCTCTTTTCGCTAATTGCAGCTTTGTGCAGCTGTATCGCCCTGACGGCAAAAGCCACCCGACGCATCTTTTATAATTGAGACTGAAGCAAATTATCCCAGCCACCGCGGTTATTACCAGTAGATTTGTGCCATCGTTAGCGAGAGAGTTGCTATGGATACGGCCAAACGAGTTAGCGCCTGCTGAACTCTAGATAGGCAGCCCGCGCTGCACTAACGACCGACCGGTTGCCTTCATTAGAAATCTTTTGTCCCGATGCATTGTTTGGTCCAAAATCACCAACAATGAAAATAATTATATATCATTTCCAATTATTTCGCTAATTATATTTGTTAAATTTTTTGTGAAAAATTTCCAATTAAATTAACAAATTATTGTATGTATCATCAATAAAAAAGTTCACTCCGTTTTGCTCTCGTCCGCATTTGCCTAAAATTTAAAAAGGTAATAGTTATGATTTGGATATTTCAATTAAATTTGTATTAATTGATTTAATTATTTTAATACTAACCTCACTGGATATGATAGTAACCAGCTCTTGAAGCAACTCCGAGTTAGTATTCTTCCCACACTCATAAAGTTTGCCTGCAGTTTCGCAAGCATCAGGGTCGGCTGAAAAAAAATTAAATCGAATAAAAATAAAAAAGACAATGTTTATTCTTACTTCTATCCTTGCAAGTTTCATAAGACTTTTTGTATTCTTCCAACTTAGTTTCATCGCCACCCGCAGCCCGTTTTAAATATTCTTCAATTTTCGGTTCGTTCAATTTTCCGTCGACCATCTAAAAACATAATATATTTTTTCTTTTTCGAAGTATTTTTTTATTTTTAAATTATTTATTATCAAAAGTTGATACGTTAATAATCTATTATAGTTACCACTTCAAACTTTTCAGCCACACATTTCATGTAGCACTAAAAATTAATTAATATAACGTTTCCATATTAGCATAATTATATATTTTCTTCTATTTACCTTATATTGGTATTGGAAGTTAACTGTCTTTAACTTTTCGGATTCCTCTATGTTTTTGATCAATGTAATATATTTATTATAAATATTACTATTTTCTAATAAAAACCTTTTGAAGCACCCAGATTTTTTGCGCATTCTTGTTGAAACTTCATGGAGCGCGTCATATGAATTCCATTTACACCTTCCCCATCAATCTAAAAATAAAAGTGAAGAATTTATTTAAGAATACAATTTGTAAGAACTCATAATCATAAAAATTGGAATAATAAATTTTTAATATACCTGAAGGAAGAAAATAATGGAGATACCAAGCAAAAAGGAATGAAACATTTTAAATTATTTGATCCAACTTTTAAACTGAAACACAGCAAAACAAGTAGTATAACCGTAGAATGTGGAAGCCAAAACTGGAAAAACGGAAATGAAATGGCAAAACATCGAGTCACAGGGACCTTGGGTCGTTTCCTTTCCAGGCAAAACTTTGAAAAGTTTTAAAAGTTCGCGCCACTGTGAGCACCGCTGAAACCAAAGCAGGTGTTCGTCTGCCACGCCCACTTTTTGCAATGGCGGATCAATGAACCCGTCTGAGCGCCGAGGATAGCGGTGCAGCGCCGACAGATGGAAATCCCAGGCCGAATGCGGTGTCTGTCGAATCGGCGAGCGTGAGTCGGCAAGGCGATGCTTCGGGAGTGGGCGCCGCTGACGGCGCTTCTGCAGCAGGTGCCGCAAAGAGTCCAACGCGGCCTCTTCTGGGATGACCTGTGTCTCACCTGCATTGACGTCCTGCCAGAGTTCATCGCCATTGGCACCGACCACGGCCTCGTCCTCTGGTATGACCGCAGGACAGGACATATGGAGCGACTTAAATGCGAGGTGAGCCACATTCAAAATAAACTTGTGTCATTTTCACTGACGTTTTCTTTTTGGCAATCAGAATTTGGTCGACTCGATTACTTGTGTCCGATTGGTGTCCACCGTCGACTTCTTGGTGGCCGCTGGGAGTGCCGCTGGAATTGTCAGTATTTTCAAAGTACCTCGATTGCCCTCGCAGATCAAACAAGTAAGTTTAATGATAATTTATTTGTATTCCTCAGTTTTTTGAAAAATAAATTATATTATTGATTTTTTATTTTATTTTCATAATACAATATATTGTTTTTCAGATTGAACGTTACTGTGTCTCTGGACTGCACAGCAGCAAAATCACAGCCCTGGAGTGGAGTCTCAACGGAATGAAATTGTTCAGTGGTGATATTAATGGGTTGATAGTTCTGACTAAGTTGGACTTTTACATGGTTTGTTCGCAATGACCAATTTTGATACACAAAACTTACAATAATTATTTTGACAGCATTTAAGCAAGTCTATGGAATTACTCGATGAAAAATTCTCAATAGTGCAGCTGAGCTACTGCCACCAAATTCTGCTAGTCTCTTCAATGTTGCGGACTGTAATCTGCAACCCTGACGACCCCCAGAACATTTCACAAGTTGGGCAGAGAGAACGGAAAAGGTAAAAATTTTATTCACTTGAATTTTGTAAAATAATTTAATTAATTTTCATTTAGACTGGGCCAGCTGGGAGCCACTTTTTGTGCCTCACCCAATGGCCTCCCAAATCAAGAAGTGATCTACACCGGTAGACCAGGATTGAGAATCTGGGTAGCTGACCGACAAGGAACTGTGCAGCAAACTCTCATCTTCAAAGTATGTGATTAATTTATGGTGATGTTAGATTTTGAATTTTAATTTCATCTTCAAATAGGATGCTTTGTTGAATCCTCAAGTTCGAGTGCAACTTGTTAACCCCGCTCCACCTCATATTTTGCGCTCACGGAGCCTCTCATTTCCTGAGGGAACTGGAAATGATCAGGTATGCTTATATACAGAAATTAAATATCATGTGAATGGATAAATAATGTATTAAATTTTTGCTTTGTTAAATATATTTTGAAATTAAATAGAAAATCCCTGTTGTTGGAAAAAAAAATTTATTTGGATTAGTAAATATTAAATTATTTTTAGGATGTGACTCATCCTTTAGTCCAGCAGTTAGGTCGGCTGGTGGTTTACAAAGAGCACTTGCTGGTCACCTGCTCTGGCAACGACCTTTACGTCCTTGACCCTGAGTCAATTACTGTGGTAGCTGTTGCCGACGAGCTCCGCAGCATTCTCGACTTTGCAGTCACCAAAGACGAGATTTTCGTCCTCGAAGGCAAACGCAGCTTGGTGCGACTTGCCTGCCACCCTGAGGTCAGTTCCTCGGGCCAGCAAAAGGGCTGCAGTGAACAGCCAGTTCTGTCACCTTCCGAGGCGCCGATGGCCGCAACGGCCGTTTCATCCATCAAAGACTTCACCAACAAAATACCATTCCATAAAATACTTACCACTCTGTCATCGCCATTCCAATCAGGACAGAAACAAAAAGAGGAAGCAGTTTTGGCCACCGAGGCGGTCGAACTGCCTCCGATCGTGGCTCTTCCGCCAGACACGAAACTCAACTTGGCACTTTTGGAGAGCACCCCGAGGAAATTGGAGCCCATCGGCCAGCAGGAGTTCGAGGAGGTTTTGTACAAGGGACGCAGAAAGAAGAAAGTGCGCCACGTCCTACCACCTTCAGACACAGAATCTGGGTCTGAGAGCTTCGGAGATGAGCATGAGGATCTTTCCAGCAGAGTTTTGAGACTTTCGCCTGACGATATTTTGACTGGGCTGCCGTGCAGACCCTTGCCGCTGCCTGACCTAAGAAGTCCTGACTCTATTGAAAGAGATGTTGCTGACAAGGAGTCAAAATTAGCTGAGGTATGTTAAAAATTTGATTTGGAGAAAACGAATCAAAATAATTAGCAGTACAAAAATTTTATTATTGCATTTTCTTATTTTGAAATTTTGATTCCAGGTAATGCCAGTTTTGCGTGATCTCCTTAACCCTGGAGGAGCAACAACACCTCAGGGTGAAATTGTCAACAAATCAGTCCACGGGAGCAAAGAAACAACTCCCGTCAGACCATCAGTCCTACCCCTTGTGCGGAAGGAACGTTCTTTCTCCTCAAGTTCCAAGCAAATGAGCTTGGATTCGAGTACCTCTACTTTATTGCCTGTCACTGGAATCCACCCCCTGCAGCAGTCGTCAGCCACTGAAACTGTAGAACGCTGGGTTCAGTTCAGCCTCCTGGAGCCTGTTTCGAATCTTTGGGTCAACAAGTGGTTCGTCTGCTGCATTGGCCCTCACGGCTCGATCAAGTTCAGCACCAGCTGCAACGGTGAACTAAAGTGGCGAGAAAGTGAGTGGCGCGCACAGGAGGTGCAAACCACCCCCAATGGAAAGGTTGTGTGGAGGGTGCACAGAGGAGTGGCTTTCCGGGCAAATTGTAGCCGAGAAAATCCTTTCGTCGAGCAGAATTGGGCGCAGGAGGTTCGAGGAGTCAAAGCTTTGGCTGTGACTGAAAGTGGAGCTGCCTGGGTTGTGACTGCTGACTGCTCACTTCAATACCATGGTAATTTTTATAGGATTAATATTTCTATGGAATAGGAAATTTTCTATAACAAATTATTTATTTTATTATATATTTTATAACAATTATTTTTTTATTATATATTTTATAACAATTATTTATTTATAATTATTTTATAACAAATTTCAGGGGAAAACGGGGTCATCAGCATCCCTAGTGACTTTCCAGTGGCAAGGGTCACATGTTCAGGATACTCAATCTGGGTTGTGTCTGCTGGTTGTGGCCAACTGTGGCAAAGGGCTTGCGTGTCCGAAGCCCAACCGTCCGGCACTCACTGGCTACGAATCGCCACCCCAAACGGTGAACCAGTCCTTGCTGCGGCCCTGAGCATGAAAACGGTGCCCATGGGCTATTTCACCATTGGCTGGGTGCTCGATAGACGCAACGCCCTTTACTTCTCTTTCGACGCCCTTGTTCACTCTGGAGAACTGCCTAAACAGGCGCCTTCGTGGTGGCAGGTGCTTGTCAATGGAGGCTTGCCAAGACCTATTTCAGAGGATAATATTAATGTCACTGTAAGATGAGCAGATTTGTTAAGAAAAAAATTATTATGTAAATATAATTTTAGGGAGAGTTACTAGTTGCTGCAACGGACACTTCGATTTGGGTAGCGACCAAGAATTCTTCTTTGATTCACATGAATAATTCAGAATTCATGGGTAAGATTTGATATTCAAAACAATTTTACAATATACAGATTTTCAACATAATAGAAATAATTATTTTTTTTATGTCACGATTTGTTTATTTGTCACAGGTCATAAGTGGGACATAGTTCATCCTATTGAACTAGCAGTGCGATGGCATGAAATCTCAGCTGAAGGCTCTTGTGATGGAGCTGGACAACTTTGGTACCTGAGCTCTCAAGGCGATCTCTATTGTTCAAGGCCAGATTCGCAGCTTTTTTATGTAATTTATTTGTCAAAAAAATATTACGTCTTATTGAAAAAAAAAATATAATTATATATTTCCAGGCTGTTCCTCAAGCTAGCAGTAGAAAAATTATGTGCATGTCCTCACTGTTGAACTCACTTTGGGTCCTGGACTTTGAGGGCCGAGTCTTGATTAGGCAAGGTTTGAGTGAACAAAATACTGCTGGTAGTGGCTGGAAGGAACTAGATCTGGCCCAAATAAGTAATATTATTTAGTCTACTTTTTTTAAATACAATATTTATTTGTATTTTTTCGGCAGAGTCCACTAATCACTTTGACTTCATTTCTTGTGGAATCGACACAATCTGGGCTTGTGATACAAATGGATCTGTTTTCATGACTGTTGGATCGGCTCATGCATTGAAGGCCTGCGACTTTTCGCCGTGTTGGATTCAAGTTGAGGACGAGCCAAAGAGTTCCGAGGACATCCATTTTCTAAAGGTAAAAAACATTATTTTTTTTAACATGTAAATTTTGCATAATTTTATTTTTGAAAGGTTTTTGCTGGATGCTCGACGTACATGGTTTGGGCTCTGGACAATAAAAACAACGTCTACGTCCGCGAAGCTGTGTTTCCTGATTTCCCATTAGGATCACGATGGGTGGTTGTACCAGGGGTGGAGGCAGTCAATCTTACCCTCAGCGCCACCGGCGTTTGGGTTCTCACACCAACTGGAGAAATTTACCGCAGATGCGGCATCAGCGAAGTCAATTTTACTGGCGATTACTGGAAGAAGCTGCCCGGGACAGCTACTTACATAACTGGTACCTTGCGCTAATATTTACTAGCAATATAATACATAATTTTTACAATTTTTTTTTTTTTTAGTTTCGGCAGATGATAAGATTTCAGCAATTGACCAGGAAGGCAGGATTATTGTGCACAATCAAAAAGTATTTTCATTCCTTCACGAGCCAAAGACAGCTGCCGCGGATAGTGATTGGGAGCTAGTTTGAAATTATTTTGACCTGAGAATTTATAGCTAATGTTTTTATTTGCTGCTGGAAGTATTTTATCTATTTTTTATCTTGATATATATTTATGTTAGTATTTTGCATATTAAGCCTTGAATGTGCCACATTCCCAGTATATAAATATTATAAATATTTAAAATAATTGTAGATCTGATGCACCTATCTTGGAATAAATAAGAGCAATTTTTAAGAGAGATCTTTGTAATTATTTATTGAATATTGACCAAGTATAAGTTTTGAATAAGCACTACAAAAATTTCAAGCTTTCCATGATACTGAAAAAATTTTGCGATTGAGCTCCGCTAGCTCTATGGAACATTGTTGCAACTTCTCGTTCGGCAAGTTGACCATTGGATCTTCATCCTCTTCAATTTTTTTAATTATTCGCCTCTTCTTTCCCTTGGGATCAGAGTCTTCATCTTCCTCGTCTTTTTCCTCTTCGTACACAGGCTGAGTGATTTTTGGCTTTCTCCGCTAAATTTTATTTATTTTTTTTTTAATAAATTATGGTTCGCAAACATTATTTTAAATTTACCTTTTTAAGCTTGTTTTCATATTGCAGAGAGTCGTAGAACTTGGGTTTTTCCCTCTTCACTCTTTCCGTTCGTCGCTGCCCCTGAATTTCTCCTGATGCACCGGCTGAGGCCACCAATAAATTATCAAAGGTTCGTGCTCTGTTACGAGCCGTGAAGAAAATGTGACCGCAAGGGCATGCTTTGCAAGCTACAGCCACCTAAAACATTTAGAAATTTATTTCAAGCAATATAATTTTGTTGTTTTATCTCACTTGGTTTTTGCATTTAGGACATCCTTTAGAGATCATTGCTCACATCTTGTTCTAACCACACTCAAAAGAAGATAAAAAAAATATTGATTTTGCTTAAAAGAATTGCTGCTTGTTTTGATTTTACTTTTCATAAAATAAAACACAGCCAACCGCAAGAACGCAAAACGCAACGCACAAAAGCGAAAAAACAAACATTAATGCATACCAATAGAAGCTAAAATAATGCAAAAAATTTTCAAGCATGGATCTCTTTAAAGAAGCTTTATTTCTGTCATTTTTAGTAAAAATTTAATAAAAAATAAAACATATATATATTAATTATTAGTCTATATATCTAGTTATTAGAAGAAAACTGAATAAATTTTTTAGTCCAATTTCTATTTTGTTGGTATAATTAGTCTTGGCCGATACGATAATATGCCACGCCCACTTAGCTGATTTTGCTTAAGTTGAAAAATAAACAAAATTAAAATTCTTTGTTCTCCAGTGTATCTCACTGCTAAATTCCGTATCAATTTTTCTCGAAAATACCTCCAAGTGATTTATAAAATGTCTGGGATTGTTTCAAAAACAGCTCCCGTCTTCAGAAGAAGCTTCAAAGTGCCAAATTCGGACGCCCTGCGTTGGTTTCCAGGACACATGGATAAAGGTTTGCTATTATTAAATAAATAATTTATGCTCAAATATAGCTATGTACATAAAGCATAATATTATAGCCTGACGTTTTTCTCTATATTTTACAGGAATAAAGCAAATGGAAAATAAGCTGACCCAAGTTGATTGTGTCATTGAAGTTCATGATGCAAGGGTATGGTACATACACATAGAACTAAATTAATAAATCTGCAAGAGCTAAAAAAAACTAAATTTTGTTGCTTTTTCACAGATTCCATTGTCAAGCCGAAATCCAAACTTCCGACACTCGTTTTTGGGCACGAAACCGCACCTTCTAGTGCTTAACAAAAAAGATCTAGTCGACATGAGTCTAGTCAATCAAATAGAAGAGCGGCTGAGGGTTGAACACGGAGTGTCTGATGTTATGTTCACCAATTGCAAGGATGACAAGGACAGGAACGTGGACAAGGTGGTACCTAAAGCCATCGAACTTATCTCTACCTCTCCCAGATACAACAGGGAAAACTCTGATGAAATTAACTTGATGATCATCGGAGTTCCCAATGTTGGCAAGTCTTCTTTGATAAATCGAATCAGGAATAAAGCCATGAAGAGGAGTAAGTGTTATAAACTTCAGTATTTACAAAAAAATCTCAACTTTGCTTAAAATCAGAAAATGCCGCTCCTGTTGGCGCTGTACCGGGAATCACAAAGAGTTTGATGACGAGAGTCCGAGTGAGCAACGAGCCGCCGGTGTTTTTGTTTGACTCCCCTGGTATTCTTACTCCGAATGTGAAAAACGCAGAAACTGGATTTCGATTGGCACTTTGTGGTGAGTTCATGTTTCCTTTAGTGAATTATTAGTTTATAAATTCCTCCCATTGATATTTTAGCTTGCATCAAAGACCACTTAGTAGGAATTGAAGTGATAGCAGACTATTTACTCTACACTCTAAACAGGCACCAAAATTTCAGGTAAATATATCTTCTTCTCACTGTGTCTCAAAACATTAAAATTATTATTTATTTAGCTACGTCGAATTGATGGGTTTGGAAGGTCCCACTGACAACATCGGAACTGTTTTAACCAAAGGAGCGATGAAACTCAAGAAGTATGAAAAAAGATTAAGTCATGAAGGTGCGAATAACGTTAGTGAATGTTTTGGTTGTTTTAAACTCAAATTTTAAATTTTTAGGTTACATAAATCGACCTCACCTGTCTGCTGCAGCCGAGTTTTTTGTTCAAGCCTTTCGTGAGGGCAAATTTGGCCCGATGATGCTCGATGTCGACTTCCTCGAAGGTAGAAATTAAGAAAATGCATTTGCAGAAGTTTGAAATAGCTGATCTGTGATTAATTTTGCGCCAGTTAGAAGGAAATTACGCACAAATGATTATGTATTTTTTGTGAAAAATATTCCAACTACTATCATTACGTCCTGTGCAATTATTGAAACTATAACTCTTGTTCCAAGCATAAATGTTAAAACCAATTTAGATCTTTGCGAGTTGAAATGTACTAAATAAAACCAAAAGGCCATCTGTTAATCCTATAAGGGGAATTTTATTTATCTAAACAAACTCGGCTTCTACTGCAGCAGCTTTTGCAAATTGCACATACACTATAATTATATATTACAATCACACTATTTACAATTTTATGGGCCAGCAAAAATTTTCAAAAAACTCTCGGACTTAATAATTTTCTCCTTTCGAACTTTGAAATTAATGCTGGGCCAATTTTATACTTTGTTTGTGCTGACTCGTTCAGACAGGATGAATTGGATAGGAATATAGAGAGAGATAGAAAAGAGAGACGTTCACAGTTTCGAAGAGGCTCGAGCTTGTTGGGTTCGAGTGCCGTTCCTTGGGGGCTTCTGCTGGGGCTTTTTGCGCCTCATCTTTCCTCGTTTCCTTCGATTGGCGTTAGCCGTGTCCTCACCGACAATCACCAACTGGGAGACCAGCTTTGGATCCGAACAGTTGATGCTCTTGAACATCTTGAGGGCTCTTTTGAAAGCCTAGAAAAAGGATTAAAAACTTTGGTTAATTCGAATAATTTGAAATTTATTAAGATTTCTTGATTTTAATTACAATTATTTAAATAACAAACATGAATACAAATTTAATTTTTCAAGTTAACTTTGCAATTAGTAAAATAGAAAAACTGGAAGTTACTAATTATTATTTCATTTAATTAGAGATCTAAATTTTTGCCTTAAATATGCTCTATGAATAAAAATTCTGTGAAACAAACCTTAATTAACTTTTTTTTTTATGTATTGCTGTTCTTAATAAGGACTGATGCGGCTTGAATCAAAATAATTTTCCTTATTAAACGCCCTTGCGTGTTTTATCAACTTATTATAAAAGCTCTTTGGAAATGCGAGACCAAGTTAAATAAACTCTCGACTCCCGGCTGCTGCATCATATTCTGATTATTCAATTTTTTTTATTCCTTCGACGGCGAACAAGTGGTTTTGAATGGGCATAATGTGTGTGTATGTATGTACGTGGATTTTACATTTGAGCATCGCAGAAACAGGTTTGGCGAACACACACGTACACTGCAAGACGAAGAGCAATGTTATTAAATCACCCACCGTAACTTCTCTCTTTCTCGCTCGCTCGTCGTTTCTTTTTTTATTTTATATATCCGCGTATGTGTGTGTTCTTTGCAGGGCTACTCGCTCTGGCGCGCGTACTTGCTCGTCGTCGCCGAAGATGAGATTTGCGAAAACGTTTACATATATATACTTGGGATGGGCCATAGGCTGTTCATTGCGCCCGTTTTTGCACATTTATAAAGCCGGTAATCTTTTATATACATACTAACTTGTGTGGCCTCCACTCTAGCTATTCTTGGAAACCATGCATAAGTAGGTATCAAGATTTCGATTAATTGGAAATTATATTACGATAAAAAATCATGATAATTATAAATTTATTGTCATTCAGTTTCAGTATGCTTTATAATTATAGTAATGAAACTTGATAAATGATTTTCATTTTCAATAAAAAATATTGGTTTTTTAGAAGGAAATTTGAATTGTTTTACTTCTGTTTGTAAGCAAATTCCTAAATTTAATTTTGATTAAAATTTATAGGTTATATAATTATTTTCTTCAAAATAATTCTTACTATTAACTATAAGAGAAAACTAGGCAACTTTGTCTACACAAAAGTAGAGCAGGTTGCATTTTATACTTCTCTTGGCCTTTTTTTACAAAAAAAAGTAGCGCAAAAAAAAGTATTTGAATTTTTCTGAACTATTTATAATATTTATCTTTCAATGATGCCAAAAAATAGCCAAAATGTATTAAATTTTAAAACTTTTGGAGATAAAAATTTACACAGATTGCAGATATTTAACGAACCTTTGAGTCTTTGGCCCAGGGCATGGCAAAACTGGGCACCATTTTGCCCTCTCGGAAGTGGCCCATGACGAGGAAGAACTCTCGACTGCCGCGCATGATGTCCTCGCAGCAAGTATCGCTTGGGTGCAGGGTGAATGTGGGTTTCCGCAGTTGCCGCAGCAGGGGCTTTTCCGTGGGGCCCTTGAGCACTTTGGCTTTGTTGCTCATCAGCTTGTTTTTGCGCACCTTCCGGAACTTGGTCCGCACCGCTGTTGGACGTGACATGGAACAAACGGCAGGAAGTTAGGGACAAACAGTCTGCGAAATCCGATTACGTTGCTAAATTCGTAATAATGAGAATATATATGTGAAGGACTCTGGGGAAGAGAACTTTTTACCAGACATGAAAAGTGAAAAGAGGAAGGAGAAAAAATTTGGCAGAAATTTTAAAGCCGAAAAAAGGTTGAAACTCAAAATATTTAATGGTTTTTCTTTCAATAATTATCAAAAAAATTGAGAATAATAAAAAAAATCCACTCTCTGTTAATCTTACCAAAGTCAGCTCTGCAGAAGTTGTCGAGGATGTTCTCGTACGTCTCGGGCTGGTTGCACGCCTGGCACTTGTCTGCTGCAACACACAAACCACATTTATTCCGATTATTGCTCTTGCAGCTGAATCAACATGCTCGTTGTGAGTTTATTTGATTTTCGGTCCGCGGGGCATCCGAGCCAGAAACAAAAGCAGCAGTTCTTCTCTCATTGCGATGCAGCACGGTGCTGATTTAAAAGTTGCCCCCCGACTTGATATATGATTGTGTGCGTTTTAAAACGTCTTTCTCACTCTCTGCATTCGTAAAAAAGCAGTCGTTTGTTTTGCTTCGTTAAACGCTCCCATTTGACGACGGCGAGCTGCTCTCATTACCAGAGAGAGCAGCCGCGCAGCAGAGGTCGAAAGCAAAATAAATAAAATAAACGTGATAATAAATAATTTGAAAACCGGCCGGCGATTTAGAATGAATGACTTTCATTACCCGATGTGGCTAAAATGAGACTTGACGAAAGGAGTTAAACACACTTGTAATTTTACAAGTCCCCATCGTTTAATTTAATTTAAAAAAAAAAAATTATAAAAAATTAAAATATAAAATTAAAATAAACTCATGAAGTAAAAATTTAAAATACCTGCATATTTCATATCAGAAAATTGAAGTACTTTTTGTTGTTTATATACATTTTTGTATTTTCACAGTATGAAATATTATATTCCCAAAAAATTCTGCTCAAATTGATCTTTGGTCCAATAAATCACCTGACCAAAGAGGTAATTTTTTTAGATCATATCAATGTTTAATTTGGTTTTTGGGAACGAAAAATGACAGCTTGAAGCAAATTTATAGCTTCATTTTTGGCGCTGCTGCTGATTGCTGGCGAGAGTAAATCGAGATTGTGTTATTCGCCGAGGTTCTTATTAAATTAATCGTGGCCAAAATCGCAATTTATTCGCGCAGCATGGGCGTGCCGGATCGATGCTGACGCGCGAGCGACTTTTTTTATAAATATGGTGTGTGTGCGTTTTTGCACATCATACACAGAGCACAAACATAAGTAGAGTGCGTGTTGTAAGATAATTCGCGCCCGTCGGACGATCAACGCTCTCTGCTGCCCACGTATATACGGTTTATATATTTCATGCTATACTTGTTTGTGTCCAGGTGTTCAACAACGGCTGCTATTTTCGGAGCTGATGCTCTTTTCCTTGTACAATAAATCAAACAATTAAAGCAAGAAAAGAAGGCCCACGATAAAGATATACCGAAAGATTCATTGTGGAGGGGAGAGTGGATTATTGGAATTTTTATAACGCGTTAAAGATTGGAAATAAACGCTTTGAAGAGAATTTTTTAATTGTGTTCTACGTTTTTAAAAATTCAAATGCATTTTTGTCCATCATCATTTGAATCTTTAAAATCACTCATTAAAAGGTTTTTCTTCTTTAACTTGAATTGCATATTTGATTGAAATTTCATTACATTTATGGGTTCACTTGGATTTTCAACCTCTTTCTACTCATATGAAAAAAAATTAAAGCATGAAAGGAAAACATATTTTGTACATTGTAAAGAATTTATTTTTAAATTTTGATAACCGTCAAAATAAATAAAATTATACTAAAAAAAACTTTTTATAATGGTAATTCACGATCGAGGGTTGATTCATGGTGATTTTAATTTAGTATTTAATTTAAATTTAATGTAATATAAAATTAATATTGTTTTTCTTAAGCAATAAACAACTCACAAAAACCCATCGTGGAAAAGCCAAATTTAAATTCAAATCACCTTAAATAAAATACAATTTGCAGGACTTTTTATCCGAACCAATTAAAAATTTACAATAATATCAATTTCATCCTCAATCATAATAATTTGGTTTGAAATTTTAATTTATGCTCAAAGAAGCAAATCCGATACAATCATGAAAATACGGCGGATGAAAAATTTCTCAATATCCAACCCAAACCCTTGTAAATTCAAATAAACAAAAATTTAGGATAACTTTTAAATCATCAAATTTGTTTCCATTTATGTCCAAAAGACCCTTCTTTCTTTTCATGCCCAAACCTTTTATGTCAAAAATGTTCTTGTGATCGAATTGGATGTGGCAGCAACTTTTTCCGAAGCGTCACACTCACTGATACATGTTCCCGTCTACCGCACTCGCTCCAGTTTCGGAAACCCATCTCTCCTCTGCTTCTGCTAAATAATCCAAACGTAATATAGCTGGGAGAGCGTTTGAAAAGTTTCTGGTGTGCATTTGTCACGCGTCAAACTTGCAGCAGTCGGGCCGACACCAGAGAGGAAAGGATTCAATTTCGAAAATGTATGATCAACTTTGAGGAAGGCCGTAAATCCGAGTGCGAAGTAAAGGCTGCTCAATAATAAATAATTCCGTGGCGCGCGCATTAACGATGCCATATTTCAAAACGAGGCCTGTCAAAGCTGCCTGCTGCTCGGCGGCAAGAGTTATCGCTCTTTTAGCAAGACAAATTACACAGCCGTCTCAAGATATGCATATACACCCTCGAGACGCCGAAGCCGATTTGTGTTCGCACTATATATTCTACGGTCACCTTTTTTTTTACTTCCCAGCGTGTTTTGATTTCCAGCTCCTCTCGTTAGCCTCTCCAACCACCACAGAGTGAAGTGAAATAAAAAAAGTTGTACGCTTTGTTTGCCCAGCAGATGGCTATAAGGAAAACCCCAGCGACGCAATTACTTTGAGCCACACGGCGTCACGATTTAAGTGAATTCTGTACTTAGCTTCTTTGAAGGGAGAATTTATGTTTTAACAGAGAACAAGATGGAAAGAAAAAAGATTTTACATAATTTCCGAATGAAATTAATACGCATTGTAAAAATTATAAAAAAACCACTAAAAATTTCTTATTATTACAGGTATTTATCTTCGTAATTGAATGATTAATATAATTATACATTTTTGTTTTAATTTCATCTTATTAACTACAAAAATTCCTGATCAGGAATTTATTTTAAAATTATCAACACAAATATAAATCTAAATGGAACTCTGGAAATTATGTTTATAATAAATTTTCTACAAATCATAATAATCTTTAACATTTCCAATATATTTTTAACTTGAATTAAAGTAACTCCCACAATAATCACTAAAATTCTAAAATTATTTAAATAATTATGTTAAGCTAAATAATATAATAAATTGAAATGAATAAAATTATGATAAAAAAAAACAAGAATTTTATTAATTATATATAAATTATAAACTTATTATAATATTTATTTTATAGAGAGGCAAAAGAAAAACAAGTTTGTCTTGGAATTAAGTTTCAGAGTGGTGTTATGACTTTTATTTTCCATCCACACGAAGAGTTGCTGAAGACGAAATTCTCCAGCAGACAGGTTGAAGAGCGAGTGTGTGGTAAACTCGCTGAAAACAGATTGAATCTCGTTAAAGCGCCCGTCTCGCTTATTAATGGTAATAACAGTCTTTCAGCTTTGCCTCTCACTATCAATTTATATCAATTTTCACGAGCAGGAAAACCAACATGCCTCGCACGTTAATTGGCATGAAACTTGGATGTGTACTCCCGTAATTGAAGTTTGTCAGTCTAATTGAGTGGCATGGTGTCCGCACTTAAAAAAAAACTGACCGGTAAAATTGTGCTCAATACAAAATGAATGGTTTCGAGCACCAGCAAAACGTAACAAATAAACAATTTAAGTGCATTAAAATGCAATATAAATGAAAAATCAAATCAATTTTGTAAAAGGTTGGAAGTTTTCTAATCTCAAAATATCTTTGCAAAAATATTATGGCCCACAAAAAATTAGAAAAGATTATTAAATAAATTTAAAATGTCAGTCTTAGCTACAGAAGATTTATGTTTTTAATTTTTTGTTAGAGATTCAATTTGAATAATTTTTCGTCTTCAGTCAATATTAATTTAATTATTTTTAAAGCAATCAAGTAAATTGAACTATTACTTATTAAATGCGCATGATTTGAAGAGGCAAAATTAATTCAAAAATAAATGCCAAAGTGGTGCGACGCTCTGCGGGTTAAATAATGCTCTCGTGCCAACAGGGAAGACGACAAACTGTTTGTGTGCGGATGTCGTGGGTGAATAATTGCGAGGCGTCGAGTACCGCCCGTCTAGGTGGTATTTACACGTAGGTGTCGAGCCCCCCGTCGCGAGCAATTATTCAAACACACACACACGACGCCCAGCCAGCCAGCCAGCTGGAATATTATCGCCCCGCGCGCGTCGTGACGGCGCTTCGGATTGGATTTCTGCCTCGACACGAGAGAAAAGTTATTACGCGAAATTTCTGCGAAATTGAAAACCCAAGCAAATGTATCCGCTTTCACTCAAATTGAAGTGTCGCGTGTGCACGTATTTTTGCCACCCCGAAAAGACTGATCCACTCTCTGAAACGTTGTCTCTTGATCTCGCTTCTAGTGACACTTGAAACTTGATAAGGCGCCGCTTCATATAGCGAGATAATTGGATTTTCCGATGGTATAATGCATTACACAACACCTCATTTTTTGCTCTGCAATATCAATAATTAAATTGTGATAATTTCTTGTACTTGCAATTAAATTAATCATTATAATTATAATAACTTTTTTAAAATTATGAATTGCAATTTATAAAATAAATATTTTTTTTGCGGGGAAACAAATTTTTTTGCTCCATATAATATGAATATAAACGGGGATAATAATTTAAACATTGGCTTTGTCCAGCTTTATGACCAGGAAAATTTCCATTTTGTAAAAAAAGCCTGTTGAGTAATTTAATTGTTTTTTTTTAAGGATTCGCGACTTTCAAGGTGATTTTTTGTAATTATCAGCAAGTCCTATTAGAGACTGGATTTAATTGGTATTTTGATTGTAGATTATTATTTTAAGCTTATTTAGTTCATTTCAAAACTATGCCTTTCACAACAACAACCAAAAGTGTAAATTAGTGATATTCCTAAACTATAAATTTTGCAAAGATTACTGATTTAATTATTATATTCATAATTAAAAAAATTAACCATTTTATAAAAATTGAATAAAGTATTTAATTATCTTTAGTTTCATTTAAATCCGTACCAAATCAAGATTAAATTTTATTAAGAAAAAAAAAAATGGAAAGAATATCGAAACAAAAGAAATCAACTTGCTCTTTGTTTTGAGTTTCAATATTTTTCCACTTTGGCAGCGCATGAAGTTGATCGAGTGCGCACAAAGCAGTATGTGACACTACAAAAATTATTGCGTCTCGTTGTCAAGACTCGGTTATTGTTAAACATGGCACTATTGGCTCGCATTGCACAGTCGAAAGGGTTAAAAAGAGCAAACGATGCATTTTCACACGCGCGGTAATTCTCAATTGACACCCACTTGAGAGGTCAACAGACTCCCGCGTCGTGCCGTGGAAATGAGGAAGCCCGCACTCGACGCGGGCGAATTTCCAATTACAAATGCACTGAAGAGAGAGAGAGGCTTGCCTCTCTTTAAAAAAACACCAACACACAAAACTCTCCGGCTGCTCTCGCACACGACGCGTGATGATTGTAAATTATTGCCGTGTTTATTTTATTGCCCCCACACACATGTACACACAGAGAGCAGCAGACAAGCGTAATATAAATAGAGACGTCAAATCACGCTATTTCACGGATCTCGCGTATTTTTATTCTCGTTCATTTACTTTTATAGTCCGTGGCTGTCGATGTATTACTACACGGGCAGCAGCACTGCGAGCTGCTTTTTTTTTGCCCCGCAGCACGATTCTCGCGGGCGAGAATCTGAGCAAATAAATTCTTTGCCGAACAGGATGTAGCGGGAAAATGGAATGAATTACATCAACATGCACAAACTCACAAAGCCGATGGGAGATTTCGAAAGATGGATAACCGAGCTGAAATTTTAAATGACTCAGCAACTAAGTTTGAGATATTTGAATAAACAATCCTGCTTCAATTTCTGCAACGCAATAAAGTACGCTATTGAGATGACATCCTGATTTCAATGAAAATTGGTGTACAACTTCTACTAAACGGCCATTAATTTGTGCCCAATTTTCATAGTTTAATTTTTTGCCATTAAAAGCATATTATTTGAATTAAATATTGGAGACATCAAAAAGAAGGCAAAATACATGCACAGGACGCTTTTGTTGCCCACATTTCCTCGTTTTTAACCTGCGTATAAATGGGAACTACCAACCCTTATGAAATTTGGCAACTTTTGATATAACCATTCCAGATCCCAAGGCTATTGCAAGTTGCATAAAAACTTTCATCAAAATCGTGGTGTCATTTCAACAGCGTACCTTGTGAGAAGTTCATAATTCATTATTAATATTTCATTTTGAATTTTGAATAAAGCTACGATTGCAGGATTTTATTAAACAAAAATAAAAATTGTTGGAATAAAAATACTGAAATTTATAGTTATTTATATGACAACTAACGCAAAAAATTATTGAAAATATTAAATAATAAATAATATTTTATTAATAGTGATAATGTCGAAGTAACGAATAAAATTGAGGAAAGTGATTTTATAATAATAACTCTCATTTAATATATTTAAGTCAACATTAATAACAACAAAACATTTTTATCGTTACTATATTAATTTGACAAAAATTTCTTATAACTTTTGCAAAAAAAACATCAGTTGATTGTAAAATAATAATATCAGCCAATTTAAAAAAAATATAAATATAGTATAGATAGAGATGATATACACATTATGTTTGCCATGATTAATAATTTTTTAGATATACACGCATCTCTTATTACACTTCTCCCTCTCTGATATGATATGATCTGTGAAGATGCAAAGTGTAATTTAATGTCCCAGCAATTCCAACTTTAAAATAGATTTAAAACACTTTTCTTGGCATACACCTATCGAACAAAAAATACAGCAATCTCGTGAGTGAACTTAAAATTGAAAATTCTTAATTTGTTTGGTATTTCTAAGCATCAGAAACTCAATAAATAAAACGTTTGTTTTTCATTGTTTCTTGTAATTAATTAGGATTTATAGCTATGCCACATTATCTTTATTTAGTAATCTATTTGAAGCAGACGATTTTTGTGAAATGGGCTCGGTTATAACAACCGATATTTCAGAGAGAAAAATATTACCATTTAATTAAAATTTAATGAGAATAAGTTGGGATTAATTTTATCCCACCCAATTTTTCTTTTCATTTGAAAATTGATGAAAATTCTAATGCAGATTATTTAAATAAAGCCTACTTTAACATACATTTATTTCCAAACTTTCATTGATGAATAAAATTTTGAAAACTGAAAAGATTACAAATTTCTAAATTGTTAAAAATTTAGAAATAGAATGAATTCAACCCTGAGGCATTACCGAGGGTGTAAACGTGGAGAGATGTAAATATATTGTTGGAAATAGAGGCATTGTATAATACCGTGGGGGATAAATAGCTGCTGACTTAATCCCGTCTTCATTGACCAGCATCATGCGTCCAACGTGTCGGACACAAAAGCGGCAGAATTAACCGGCTTTTTTATTGACTGGGCTCCAGCTGCAGAAGAGAAGAAGAAGACGAAGTGTGAAAAGCTGCGCTGCCTCCCCTCGGCGCGAATACACCCCATTTGTCATTGCCGCCGAGATAGAGGCAGACAGCTAGTGCATCTGCATTCATTTGTTCTACGTGACGGAGAGCGGCCGGCCCGGCACACGCGATTTTTCAGCAGATCAGCAGCAGCAACTCTCACACGTGCTGCGCCTTTTTAATAATGGACTGCCAGTCTCTCTCTTCTCAGCCATATGCTTGCTCTTTCTATTTCATGAAGATCCTCTTTCGCTTTTCATGGCAAAACTTTGCCAGCCCACCAAGTTGTCTCATCATCGTGATATAAGGACTGCCGGGTTTTTTCTCTCTCCTTGGCATACGCGGCAGGAAAAAGTTTTCTTTCTTCGACTTGTATTTACTTTGGCCTCTCTTGAGCCATAAGGTCAGAGGGGAGGTGCAAGGGAGCTTAATGAAAATTCTCACAACACCGATAAATCAACACGACGAAATCGACTTTGATTTTCGCTGCAGCAAGAGCGCAATTCAATTCTTTTACCAAACCTCAAATTTAAAAATGATTATTTAATTAGATTTTTTAATTTTAATTTACGTTTTGTTTAAATGCAAAAAGTACACAATTTTTAATTGATTTAAATTTATCCAGGTGTTTTGAAGAAAATTTACAAATTTATCTCAGCGGATTTTATGGATTTCTGAGAAATTTAAACAATTTAACTTGGTTTTTTAGTTAAAGAACAAAAAGTAATTAACCTTGAACTCAATGCAGCGGTATTTTTAATCGCAGAAGTTGTAGCAAAATCTTTAAAAATATTCTAAAAATTCCCTTTCTTTCAAACAAACTGATTTTTCCATAACTGAATGTAAACAATGTGATTGTATAAATTTTGACAAATAAACAATAACAATAAAAAAAAATCACAATCATTAAGTTCATTTTGATAAATAGTAAAAAAAGATGAATTTTATGACGATTTGAATTCCAGGAAATAACGGAAATAAAAATGCATGCATTTTTCTCACCTTCGGAGGAGTTGCTGTTGATTGATTGCGGCGAGATGCACATGTCGTTGTCCAGAGGGAACTTCTCACACTTGAGCATGTCCGGCCAGGGAAAGCCGTAGGTGAGCATTCGGTCTTCGCAGCCCTGTTTGACCTTTTCACACAGCGATCTGCAAGGGTAGATGGTCCTCTCGAGGCAAACCGGGCTGAACAGTGAGCAGAGGAAGAGCTGCGTGCCCGAGTGGCACTTGATGCCCAGCAGCGGAACCCATGAGCTCGCCTGGTGCGAAACCTGCGCAAAAATTCAATTAGCACTAAATAAATTAGTGGTCAACAAGTTCTATATCAGGAAAATTTAAGTGTAATTATTTGTAATATTTACTCCAGCTTTGTAAGTTTAATTGAGATTTTTAACTTGAAAATATCTATGCTTTAAAACCAATTAATAGAAAGAAAATGTGTCTAAAAAGATTTGGATAATTAGTTTTATGTTAAAAAAAACCCTAGCCAAACATTTAGCGCGTTAATTATGAATACACTTTAAATAATATGCCCGTAACTGTAATCTGATAATTTTATTAAGTTCAAGTTTAAGAACCAAATTTACAGCTCAAATATTTCGTAAATTATTGTTCTCCTCAAAACTTCAGCTACAAATGTGCCGCAATATTAAACAATAAATACTAATTATCCTTATTTTTAATTTAAAAAGTCTTGGAAAACAATAAGTCTCATTCCAATTTAAAAAAAAAAAAATGCAAATATATAAGGACAAAAATCTAATCTTGATCAAATTCATTATTATTTATTTTGACGTTTGACCTGCTTGAACCTAATTTTCTGTAAGATTATTCTTTGGTTATTTTTTCCTTACTTCAAGACTTGTCTCTACATGCGGCCGGTAATTTAGGAAAAAATCACGTATAATAAATCAGACAAAATTTATTCGAGGAAAATGTTTGAGGTAAAATTTCAGCAAACGACTCGTACACGATAAAAATTGAAATAAAAAAGCCTGCCTCTGACCGTATGTGGTTGTCTGGGTTAAAGGTCAAGGCCATTGAAGGTACGTCTGAAGGATGTTTCATCTCTCACAATGTGATTCCCAGTGAGATCATTTTAAATAAATTTTGTAATAACAAAAAATAGTAATTAATAATAAAAAGTAAAAATTACAACTGTTTAAAAATAAAAATAAAAAGTGCATAAGTAAGTAACGGGACGTCACCTCGGCCATGGTGTCGTGGTCGAGCAAGTTGGGCAGTCGCATCTTGTGGTAGCCGATGCCGTGGCACAGACTCATGTTGCGCGGAATGTCGACGCACGTGGGGTGCGAGGCGCGACCTGAGAGCGGCCAGTCGCCCAGGTAGGAGGCCGTGGCCGCCGGTGGCGCGGCGGCCACCACCGCCAGCACGAGCACGAGCCGCGCGAGCATGCCTGCTTGAGAGCCGCCGTCGACTGAGTGAGAGAGAGAGAAAGAGCGTGAAACTTCGCCTCTCTCGCCGCAGCCGCGACCAGGGCCTTCTTCTGGCGGCTGCTGCCGCCGCGGCGTGGGTGTTGCATACCCAACAGGCTGCTCTTCTCACATTAATGCACGGCAATATTTTGAAATTGATCCTCAAAGTGCTCTACTTGATTGTCGTAAAATATCTTTTTTAATTTTATTGCTAAAATACTCTAAGTTATATCAAAACGCCGACCTGCCAATTTTTTTTTAATTCGGATACTTTTTAACTAAAAAAACTCATTGTTTTGACAATGTGTGCTGTGATTCATAAATTCATGAAAACAAATTTAATACCCTCTTCTAAACAATGCAGAATGATTTTTGAATAAACTAGTATTTGTTTTAATGAACCTCAAACACATACCAATTGATATTTGAAATTATAATTAGATAAGATTTGTAATATAACTTTTTGTAAACAATAAATTCTGTTGAGAAGTAACCCTTGATAAATAATATATCAATTAATTAATTTAAAAAAATTAATTATTTGAAAAATTCATTTTTTTTTTAATTCCACAGTTTAAAGTTGATTTACAGTTTTTTCAAACAATTAAAGTCATCAATTAATATTTAATATATTGCCAAAAGATTCAATTTAAGATTTAATTGCTATTTCAATTAATAAAAATCCATCTTATTTAACCGAATTAATTCCTGTCTGGTAAGGATTATTCTTCCTTGTTTGATATATTAGAAGAGAAAGACTTGAATGTGATGACAATATTTTAGAGCAAACCCCTGTGTTAACCCCATGCATAAATCCAACCACTAATCCACACGCCGTAGAGCTCGAGACGATTTATTTGTTCGCTTCCGAAGGCGAATTGAAATTCACGCGCGCTGCCCGGCGACGGCTGCGAGTGCGTGCGACCGAGTGAGTGAGGGAAGGGTTAAGGTGCTCTCTCGCGCTTGTTTGCGACTCAAGGCAATCCACTCGAAAGGCAGCCGAGATTAGAGATCTGCACTGTGCAGCGCAGACGGCCAGCCCCTTTTATTTATTTGCCATCGAGCAGCATCAGAAAAAGGCAGCAGTCGCGTCGTCTCGCGCGCACCCACCCAGCCGTGCTGCGAGTTCTCTAAATACACACACATACGTTTATATGTATATTACCCGTGTGTATGTATTATTAAAAATATGGGCGGAGAACACAGACTGGCGAGAGAAAAATCATCATTTAGAGCCGATGAGTGAGCTTTTTACAGCAGAAACAGGTGCCCTTTTGCAGCATGTTTGTAGACGACTCCATTAAATGGTCAATTTTTATAATTTTGTGTCATTCATTTTTATTGTTCCAAATTAACATTTTTATTTCTTAAAGGTCCTCAAATTTCTTTAATTGTTGGTCCTTTATTTAACTGTGACCAATTTCACATCCAATGTTCACAACTGAAAAATAAATGCTGAAATTATTTTCTTCTTTAAATTATTATTCTCTAAGAAGAAAAAAAATAGCAAAATACTGACAGAAAGCAAATAGTTTAAAGTTCAAAATTCTGCATTTAAAAATAGAGGCATTAAAAATTATTAGATAATTATAGATAAAACTGAAACTTGAGAGAACTGTATTTTGGTAAAAACAATCAACATAATTTAATTACTTTATTTTTCTTCTCATAAAATTATTCTTTTTATTATACTCTTATGGGTCATCTATAGAATTCATTCCGAAATATCAAAATAATTAATGCCTTAATTTTTTTAGGTATAGCTGCGAAGGCAAGGGAAATTTCAAAAAAATTGTAATTGTAAGCTCATAATTTGATTGAATAGTGATGAATAATAAAAAATAAAGAAAATGTGTAGATTATAAATTTGTATATAAAACAATTATTCTTATTGTTGGTTATTTGCTAACATAAAATTCAAATGTTGGACCAAATAACGCCACCTATAGCAAGAATAACAAGAATCCTAATAATTTCGATACTATTAAAAACCTAACAAATCAATTTATTACCCTTCCGAAGTTCTATTCTTTAGAATTAAGTTAAAATCTGATAAAACTAAAAAATTAGACCGATTGATTTTGAGCATTTTTTTATGTTCATTAATTATTAGACCAAACTATCATTTCCATTTGTGATATCTTTTCATTAATATTAGAAACAGTATTTTTGAAAAATAATAAATTGCATGGTTTTTTAAATTTTCTTAATTTCACAGGAACTTAATGAATTAATTTTTATTCCCTTCTTTCCTAACATTGAGATAAAAATTTTGTAACCATGCGTTTCATTAGACAATTTTCATGCACTCTGCGCCGTCCTTATTTAAATAAGCCCAGGGAAACATTTTCGATCACGAATCGCGGATTGTCATTCAAATGCGCATTTTCCACGAAAGTTATTAGGAAGCGCTCGTTTGCGCGGTCAGGCGGCTGCTCGCCGCCGATCGCACACAAAAGAGAAGATCGAAGGAAGCCTCCCTCTTATTTGCATGAAATTCCAGGTGCGCTCGCCGCCTCGGCAATAAATTCCTGTGAGGCGCGGGGTGGCAGCGCGCTTTATGCATGAGTATTATGTTATTGCGCCGCTTGATTTATGACTGTGCAGCAGCAGCACAAAACGACAGAAGAAACGAGATAAAAATAAAATAAATAAAATGCAAACACAATAACGCAGTTTTAGTGCTGGTGCTTTTTATTGACAACTCAATTGCATCCCACAAACTCGGCCTGCATATCTCAAAAACACTTTTTATTCTTTTATGCTCTGCGCGCGGAATACGAATAATAATAAAAACTTCTCAGAATAACTTTTGAACTCGTAATTCCTATTTTCCTATACAACTAGAAGTAAAATTGTTGCTGAAAGAAACTAGTTCTTAAGGAAAGTGGAAAATTTAAAAAGTTTTAATCAGTTTCAATAATCTCATCGATATGCAAATAAATGGAGATGGATGATAAAATCCAAGGCAGGAGTGAAAATTGTTCCGAATGGAGAAGTAAGATGGCAGCAACAGATGTAAAGACGCATGCGGTGACCCGAAGTCTGACAGACTTGGTAGTTTTTATATCAAGCATTAAGGTGTATGTAAGGTAAAAAGGTGCCAAAAATGTTTAAAAAATATTTTGAGACATTAAAAATTGGAGTGTGAAATTAAGAAGTATAATGCTAATAAAATATTCATTTTTTAAATTATGTTTAATCAGAAGTTTTGTAAAATTGAACTCTACATTTAAGACAACCTTTCAAAATATAAATTACAAATATAAATATTTATAAAAAATTTTTTTAATGTAATTGTTAGCAAAGATAATAAATTTGATAAATTATCTGAGCAGAATTTAGAAAACTGTATAAATACAAATCAAGTGTTTCGTTGCTTTTTACATAAAGGTACATAATTACAGTCATTCCTTTTCTAATTCATTGTCAATTTTCATTTCATTGGTCATGGGATTTTTAATTCATTTAATATTAAAATATTTTTTCGGTGCTTTTGATATATTTTTTGTTAATTCTTAATCAATCAAAATCAGGATTTTAAAGTTTTGATAATGAAGACATATATTCCATGCAAATTCAACATGCATTCATTATAATACTGAATCATATGTAATATATAATTTGTGTAATCCTCTGGAGGACAAAGTAGATCATCAATTATTATACTGTGAAAAATATTTCCTTGGTCGTCGTAAAAACTTGATATTTCTTAAAATCAATATCGACTCGGACGTTGAAGAGAAATTGTGCCAGTATAAGGAAGGGACAAAGGCAATATTATTAAATATCGCTGCTCCTCTCTCGTTATTTCTTTTGCGGCTAGAAAGAGAGGCTTCGGACGGCAAGTCTCACGAGACCCACTGCCGAAGGTGCAGTTTGAACCTTTACTGATGGCCCGTTAATGGAGAAAAATGGAGGCGATTGTGCGGCAGCCGTGGCCCTCGAGATGTGATAAATAGGGAGAGCGGTGCGGTGATACAGCGCAGGAAGAGCACGTGAAGCGAACGTCAAACAGCCAATTCCTCATCGCAAAAAGCCAGCCCAGGGACCTTTATTGCCGCGATTACGTCGCCTTTTTACACACATTTATATATACGCACACGGCGGCCAATATATACTTCTTTATGACTAGATCAGACCTTTCGGAGGGCGGTGTTATCAACGGTGTGACAAAAACGATCGATCTGAGTTTGCAAGTCTTATTCTTCATTCACTTCAACTGAAAATGTGTAAGGCATATGAATATTGATGTTAGTTAATTTTTGGTAAATCGGGTAAATCAATATTTTTTCAATAATTCTAATAATCTTGGTAGTAGAGGCAGTTGAGGTTAGTTTTCAAATAAATATATATTCTATAATCAGAATTATTGAAAGTAAAGTGTCGGAATTTTAAGACCTTTTTCAAAACAGAGTAAGAAGGCCATGAATGAAATAAATTTCACTTGAATAAAGAAGTTTTTAAATTTTTCTTTTACCTTTTAAAATTATTAAATTATAGTTTAATTATAAAAATTGTTACAATCTCAATTAAAAAAAGGGACATTGTTGGAAAATTTAAAACTATTACCAACATTTGTTGTTGATTTGAATGTCTCTGCCTTTCCATTTTTATTTTTGCAAATAAACTTAAATGTTGATTCAATTTTATTTTGCAAATTCTAATATTAAACAGATTTATTTTTTTAATGCATTTTTCCTAGAACAATTTAAAAAAAGTTGCTGCGACTGGAAATAAAAATTACCTCTTTGATGTTCAACTGCGTTTAAAGCCCGGCTCAAAGTTTCATTAAAGCTGTGAATTTCCAGTATAAACATTGTGAACTTTGTTTGAACTTTGACATTGAGGAAAAATTTTCCAGTTTGCGTCATCTTTATACTTGAAAAAAGAGAGAAATGCGGGCAAATTTTTAGACTCTCGTTTCCCACAAACTTTTTGCCCACACACCAAATGAGGGCTGTAACTTTTTGAGCTTTTGGATCTCATCAGAGCAACAATTTGCGGTAATTTTAAGCCTGCGCGAAAA